GAACAGGACCAAGTGTCTTTTCTTGGTGATTTATTCAGTGTCTTCACCTTTCTCCTCTCAGCAAAAGCTTTGCTCTTTGAAAAACTTAGTTCATTAGTATTGTAAAATATGATTGAACGTTTAACTTTGAATGACTTCAGGGTAGGTCTTCTGCCTCTGAGAAAAAGACACAGCTTTTTAAATTTTTTTTTCAGATTTCCAGATCATCCCATTGTCCTTTTGCCTTCTTCCATGGAGGATGGTGTGTAGGGATAGCAAACTGAGAAGCTTTGAAACCCTCTGCATCTAGATATGACTCTCTCTTCTACTGCTGAACAGGTACATGGTTTTTATTTTATAATGGGAACCATTGCCATGAGCTATGAGACCTTTAGTTATCCATTGGGAAATGAGAACTACAACACATGTGTTTTCCAGAATGGCAAATGTTAAATGATACATCCATTGCCACCTGTCAATCATTTTTCTCCCTAGAACAGAATCTTCAGCCATGTTTGGATTGAATTGGCCAGTGGTCAAAAAGTAGGACACTTTGCACATGATTGATTTCTTCTGAATCCCTGAAGTGTTTGGGTTCAATGAAAGGCAATATTTAGATACTAGGTGGTCTTTTAAGAGCAGACATAGGGAGATAAAAACTTGTGGCTGTAGTTCCATGTAAATAGACCTTTCAGAAGAGGTTTGTTCTTGAGTTGTTATGTGGCCAACAGCAATTGCAGTAGCTACTATAGCTGCTGAGAATATTGTATATTCTGAAGCTTTTAGATATAATATTCTATAGGTCTATTAAGCCCTTTTGATCCATGGAGCAGTTAATGATAAGGTTTAGTTTGTTCATGTTTTTTGACGATCTAGTGTTGATGAAAATGGGATGTTCAAATCATTTTCTGTTCTTTTATGGAGTCTGTTTCTGTATGTCCAATAATGTTTTTAAAATGAAATTTGCTACCTTAATGTTCAGCACATCTATAACAATGCTAGTTTCATGATGAATCACTTTCTTTATTAATGTGAATTAACTTTCTTTATATTTTCTCATTATGGCACAGAGTCTACTTGTTAGATATAACTATTCCCATTTATTTTTGGCTTCCATTTGCCTGATATGTTAACTTCTATTGTTTCACTTTCAGTCTGTGTGTGGTCTTTGCCAGTAAGGTGGATTGAATGAGATGTCCCAATTGACTAAGACATTTGAATATTTGGTCCTTAGTAGATGGTGCTGCTTGGGTAGGTTTAGGAGATGTGGTCTTGTTGGTGAAAGTATGTCATTGAGAGTTTAAAGATTTGTGTCATTCCTAGTTAACATTCACTGCTAAATGTTTATTGTTCAAGATGTGGGTCCCCAACTTCCTGCTCCTGCCATCATGTTACGCTCAGCCATCATGGACTCTAAACCCTCCCGAACCACAAGCTCAAATAAACTCTTCTATATATTGCATTGGTCATGGTGTTTTATCACAGCAATAAAACCATAACTAATACAGCAGTTTTGTTTTGTTTTTTTTTTTAGAGACAACAAATAATTGGCTCTTACTTTTTAATCTATTCGGCAAGTTTGAATAATTTAATCAGCAAATTAAAACCATTTGCATTTAGAGTTATTATTGAAAGGGATTTTTTGACTCTTAAGCTTTTGTTGATTGTTTTCCTGTTGATTTAATTATTTTTCTCTTCTTTTTATGTTAGACATTAGCTGGTTTACTGAGTTGGAAATGACTGAGCCAATCTTTCTTTTAGATTTATTTATTTATTTATTTTTTTATGTGCATTGGTGTTTTGTCTGCATGTATGTCTGTGTGAGGGTGCCAGATACCAGGCCTGGAACTGGAGTCATAAACAGTTGTGAGCTGCCATGTGGGTGCTGGGAATTGAACACAGGTCCTCTGGAAAGAAGTCAGTACTCTTACCTGCTGAGTCATCAACTGAGAAATTCATGATTCTTCTTTGTCTGTTTGTTCTCCTCATGGAATTCATTCTTTTCTATGTTGTCCTTATTAAGACTCTCTGCTCCCTCTAATTGTGTAGGATTCTTCTATGTGTTTTCCACAATGATGGTCTAACAATCATAAATTACTTTCGATTGTGCTTGTCTTGTCTTGTTTTATTTCTTCCTGAATTTAAGACAAATGTACCAAAGCAGTTAGTTTTATGCCATTTAATTCCTTTCATTGTTTGTTATACATCATTATATACTTTCCTTCAAGGTTTATACTGAGGTTCGATATTTTTCTGATAGATTTGGTTGGTAATCTTTCTTTTGCAGCTTTTAATATTGTTTTCTTTTTATTTTGAACTTTGGTATTTTGACTCCAATATGTTATGGAGACATCTTTCTTTGGTCTGTCTGGGGTTCTAAATACTTCTTGGGCTTACATGTCCATTTCTTTGCAGTAATTGGCAACCTGTTTTGATCCAATTTTAATGAATATTTTTCTGTATATTGCTATGCATTGTATAATTTTACCTCACTAATTCCTGAGTTGTCATATTTCCTTTTCTTCCACCTCTGATATCCAGCTTCATTTGGTCTACTGGTTATGATTTCTATTACCAAAATTTTATTGAGTTGGCACAATATTAATGTAGAATATGTTATGAAGACAATTATTTTACATAAAAGTAAAAATAGCAGGTCAAAGAGGTAAAGCAAGACAGCAAGGAAGGAATGAAGAGAACAGGGAAGATGGTTATATGAAATAAAAGAAAAAGATCTGAGAACATTAAGAAAAGGGAGATGAAAGTGCAAGTGAATAAAAAATGAATTTGATCACACAGTAAAGGAATAATGAATGAATAGGTTTAGGTAATTATGAGGAGGATAGAAATAATAACATTAAAATTCTAAGAAACGGAGTCAAAATACCACTAAAACTTTAGTAAAAAGAAAATAATGGATCTTGAGTGGCATGAAGCATGATGCTGTGTTGGAGGAACTTCTAAGATCAGAGTCTCTAGGAAAGAAAAAGGAGGCTCCGCTGAATTTGAGGGCTCCTACATTTCTTACCATTTAGGGTAGTGCTGTATTTGAACTATTCAAATGCCCAGAGTCCACCAGAACTGTCTCCCCTGGGGAAGACAACTTCCTTCTGTGGGGTAGCAGGAGTCTGAGATGACACATTCTACAGTCCATGAGCTGGGCTGTCTCTTCTACACTCCCAAGTGCACTGAAGGTAAGAGAATCAAACGAACATCAAAATCTGTACATGATAGCGGGCTCTGTGCTTTCCAAAGCTACTTAGCATTACATGGCTTGCTGAAGAGACCAGACTATGGAAGTCGGTTACCTTCCCGGAGTCTCAGAGACCTGCCAACAATGAACCTCCGAGCAGATAACTGGTTCCCAATACTGACTTCAGGCTACACAGCTAACCTTGAGGAGATGAGGTCAGCTCCCAGGATCAGAAAGTGAGATCCGCTGTATGTATCCATCCCTTTTGCTTCCTGAGGCCAGCTTCCCACACCTTATACTTCTCAACAAGTCTGTATACACTCCCCATTCTCTCTACAATTGCCTCACAGAGGCATCTTCCATCCAGAGAAGGTGGGACGTTGATTCCAGGCTCCATGATTTGTGATAGTTCCTTGGGATAGTGTTCTTTGGATAGCCCAGCCTTAAACAGTAAGTTCTCCTTTAAGATCTATGTAGTACTCAGTGGGATAACACCATTGACCTTCTTTCCACTGCTGACCTCTTCTTCAGGAGGGGTCATCGTCTCACCAAAACTCCCAAGTAAATTGGAGTCTTTGCGAGAACTGTGAGATGTAATGAAGTCTTCAACCCAGGGCTTCCTGGCTTAGCTTTTGAATGAAGCTGATGATGCTTTCCCTAGCTTGTAGGGAACTGGTGTATACCATGCCTCCTGTCTTTGCCATTCTATTTCCCATTCTCCAGCTGTCCTGTCATCCTCTCTGTGCTTCCCCGTGAATCACCCCCCAACCTGCCCTTCTGTTTGAATGGAAGAGCTAATATTTGCTGTCCTGACTTTTCTCATTCACCATGTCATATGTAGCAGATTCTTGTCTATCACTTTATCTGTGAGATCCCAATGGTCTTTTCATACTGGGATTTTTACCCTTACTCTGGTTGCCCATCTTTTAGAGGCCACACCAAGTAGATAATCACCCCAATTCCTTGGCAGTTTTTGACATTCTAATATAGCCTATCCTCCAGATTTTGTTCCTTTTTAATGTCAGAATAGACAATACTGCCCTGTAACTAAACATTTTATTTTCTGCTCAAAATTAAATACTCAACAGTTTTATACTTTCCAAGTTCCTAGCTCTCATTGTTTATATTCGAAGTTTCTCATGGTCATCCTCTCTAAAGAGGAGACAAGCATTCAGAACCCAGCCCATGTCTGATTTTCAATTTTAAGAACACATGCTTTCCACTTTTATACATGAGAGGATCAATAGGTCACTCTTCAAGTCACAAGTTTCTATCCTTATTTACCTAATAGTTTTGTTTTGTTTTGTAACCAGTGTTTAGTACCATGTAGATACTCTCAGATTTTATAGATTGGGGCTCAGTCACCACCTTTCCCTAAATGTAGAATATGCTATTTCCATAAAATCAACCTATCTTTTCAGGGAAAAATAAAATGTTAGCTTTCCAAATTACTGATAGAAATATACACAGTAGATGGGAGCATTATAAGAAAAAATAAGAAGAATTCAGTGAAGAGAAATCATACTAGAAGATACTCCAGGGCCCATGTGAGGTGTTCATTCTCCAGATGTGCTAGGGATGACACATGAAGGAGGGTGCTTCATGCCCCTGAAAATACCCACACAGTCTCAGGGCTGCCAAAGGCCTGTTTGGGTGGGATGTGCCCTTTCAGGGTTTCCTGTGTGACTTGAGGTTGGTCACAGGTTTAGATTTCTCCATTTCCTATTTCATAAGTGCAGAGGATGCCAGCTAAAGAGCGCTGAGTCTCCACACACTCCACACTGGCAATGAGAAGTCACTGAAGCCATGACAGGAGCAGAGAAGAACCATGCTCTGTTTGGGCTGGGTGTTTCTTTGCTTTGTTGCAGGAGAGCAGACCACAGGATTTGATCATTCAGGTAGGGGCTTTCGCTTTGCATATTAACACCGTGAGTCTTGTGGTCAAAGTCTAAAGTGACATAATCTGGTCTATCAGCAGCCTGATCTATTAGGACACAGCATCTTCTCACTGTTAAAAAGAGTAGGAGGAGAGTTTTCTGGTCAGGACTGTTTTTGGCTGATACCACATACAGCTGGGGGATCCCAGTGACCACAGCTGGGCATTCAGTGGGGACATCTGAAGAGAAGTGTGTGATTATTCATCTATCAACAACAGCAAGTTAAGACACAAGCCCGTTGGGAGGGAATCAGAACATGAGCCATTTTCGTCTAGGAATTTGACAGAGTACACAATACAGGAGAGAGCTTAACCCTTTGTTATACTGAGCCTACTTTTAAGCAGTAAAAGCAGTAAAACTGCTTAAAAGTAGGCTCAGTATACTAACACGCTTCTTTTTTATTGTTTCTTTTACTCTAATTTTCAGCTTGTGCCACCAAAAGACTTCTTTGGACATATCCTGTGGAGGGTGCAGAGGATTTTGTCCTATTTTGTGATTTACCAGAGCCTCCGAAGTCACAATTCTCCAATATAAGTCAACTGTCATCAGCACAAGGCTCTGCCCACATACCTTGCAGCGGTAATCAGAACCTATCTGATGTCCAGTGGTTCATGCAACCTCCGAGTGGAGGTCCATTAGAGGAGATCGGCAGAAACTCTCTTTACATGCAGACCAAAGGCATGCTGCATATATTGACCCCGCAGATGAACAATGTTGGGTCATATATCTGTAGACCCAGGATTAGGTATGTCTCAAAGGCATCCCAGTCTGAAAATATTCTCAAATTCTCTATGACCTCAACAAGTGCTTACAGGACCTTCTCTGTCTCCTAGGAGTCCTCAGGATATGGCTTGTTGTGTCAAGACCATCTTAGAACTTAAGCCTCCGAGAAATGTATCCTGTGGGAAGCCAGTAGAGCACAAGCAATACCTATTTCTTGGAAGCACGGGCTCCATTTATTGCCCCAGTCTCAGCTGCCAAAGTGATGCACAGAGTCCAGAGATGACCTGGTACCGGGTATGAATGGATTTTCTAAAACTGGTGTAAGAGCACTGTTTTATGGCTTTCTCTTTATAGAAACACGAGTTAGAGAGCCCAGGGCCCAGAGCTATCTAAAGGCTGCTCTGTGCATATATAAAAAAGACATACAAAGGCTGGTCTGTGCCTATGCAAAAGACTTGCATTCTAAAGTGGTTTTGACCCTCTGTAGAGTGCAGCTTGCTCTTCAGATTGCTAGAGCCACCCTTTTGATTAACATCAGGGGGAAAGCCCAGCAGGTGAGGTTGTCATACTTGTGGGAGGGTGAATTCTGGACAGGTTAATTCGTTTATGTTGTCATAGACGGTAATGGGCATTGCTAAGGAAGAGGAAGGGAGCTCCCTGCAATCAAGTCTTGAAGTTTTAAAAGAAACAGAGGAGCGGAGTAGTTTCTAAAGGGGAGGATGGTGAGGAAAATGCAGCAAGTCACCACATGACAAGTCACTTGTGCCAAGCTTGTGGGAGGGAGTGGATGCTAAGAAAGAGGGCACGAGAGAAAATTTATAATGATGTTGAGTAACTTGGTAAACAAATACAACAAAAACATTCCATGTCTTCACTGTGCTATAGTTTTTCCATGTGAATGCTCACCTAACAGAACCTTATCTGTGACATACCTCCTCCAACAAGGCCATGCCTCCCAGTGGTTCCCAAACAGTTCCAGCAACTAGGGATCAGGCATCCAGACATATGAACCTGTGGAGCCATTCACATTCCAACCACTGCGCATGGTGACTTCTCAATACATCATGCCCCTCCTTCCTGGCCTTCAGGATTTCTGCTCAGAATTCTGCTGACAACCATATTTATATATATTCCAATGTGGCATGTCTCAACTCTTGCTGCTTTCAGTGATTTTTCCTTATGTTTCAATTTGGGCAATTTATGATATGCCAAAAGGAATTTCTCCTTCAGTTGAATTTGATTAGAAGTCCACACTGAGTGTTGTCCTCTGCATTTGGGCAAGTATTAGCTGTTAATTCTCTAGATGTCCTCTTTTAGACTTCTGAGGCTTCTGTTGGGCCAAGCTTAGTTCTTCTTATGGTATTCCATAACTCCCATAAGCCTTTTCATTATTGCCCACTCTCCTCTCTCCTTGCTCTTCTGCTGGGTGATTTCAGATGCTCCACTCCTGAGCTCTCTGGTTCTCACCTCTGCTGATCAAGTCCACTGTTGAGCATCTTAAAGAATTTTTGCTTGTGAATATATTCTTTATTTATGAATTTTCATTTAAAATTTATGTCATTTATTTTTCCAACTTCTAATATTGTCAGGAATGGCTTTCAAATTTTTTTCCCTTCTGCTGTATTTTCTTGCAGTTCTTCAAGCTTAAAGCTGCTATTATTATTATTATTATTATTATTATTATTATTATTATTATTATTATTATTATTATTATTATTATTATTATTATTATTATTATTATTATTATTATTATTATTATTATTATTATTATTATTATTATTATTATTATTATTATTATTATTATTATTATTATTATTATTATTATTATTATTATTATTATTATTATTATTATTATTATTATTATTATTATTATTATTTGCCTATCCTTCACTCAAATAGATCTCTGTGTTTCAAAGTCCTTTGTTGGAATTTTATGCATTTCCTTTATAGTGTTGTGTGCCCTGATCTTGGCAATTCTTTAACACAGTGGGGCATTTTAATAAAGGACAGTGGGAGAGTTTCTTTAGAAATGGCCTTGAACACCAGGATTGCTTTGGTACTGTAGTGACTCCTGTTAGTAGGACCCGAGCATGAATGAAAATCCCTATTGGTGTCTTAAGTCACCTTACCAGGGCCAGGTTGGTTTTCTTCAGTGTTGACATACATGGGTGTGAGGTTGATTCTCAGTCCTGTGTTCCGTGGAAGCTTTGCACATGGGTTTGCCACTTCCCCCTCTCGTTTCCATTTGGTTTAGCTCTTGTAGGGACTGGACCCTTTGGGTGCTATGGGAGCTGCCTACCACGAAGAGCTGGTGAGCAGGCTGAGACTGGCCAGACCCACAGGTTAAAGTGCACACATTCCTGGGGAGCTTTAAATACAGCTAGCCACTTGCTTGCTGTACAATGCATGCCAAAAGAGGAGGGACCCTTTTCTTCTTGTGAACACAATATTGATGCTGCCTGCAATTCCTTCAGCTTTGCGATAACCCTGCTGTGTACAACCATGCTGTGGTGGCAAGTTAGCCTTTTCCGTAAGAACTACAGCCAGGCAATCTGAGGAACATTCTCAATTGTGTGCCTAGAATTAGAGTTTGTAACTCATGTTCCTAACTTCTCACGTGCTCCTGTTAGATTCTAACAAATGGGTTTTCACTCGCCATTCTGTGTGTTAAGAAATTAGAGTTTTGATTTTATAACTTTAGAACCCAGTGTACTTACTAGCTATCATTCTAGAGTTTTGAATCACATAGGTATAATTTTAATTTTTATTAAAAATCGTTTTTTGTTTATTTATTTTTTTTTTACACACGATATATTCTGATTATGGTTTCCTCTCACCCAGCTCTTCCCAGGTGTTCTCCACATCCATCACCCATGTACACACACTTTCTCTCTCATTAGAAAACAACCTGGCAACTACAAAAGCAAAGAAGCAAAACAGAATAAGACAAAACAACAACAAAAACAAACAAAGCAAAACAAAACAAAACAAAAACAAAGGAAAAGCATAAGAAACACATATAGCTGTAGAAATCCCTTAAAAACACTAAGTCCTGAACTGTAATATATAAGCAAAACCCCAAAGGTCAAAAGAAGTCTGTGTAGTTGCGACCGTGGGGAGGACATGGGATTCTCTCTCTCTCTCTCTCTTTTTTTTTTTTTCCAAGACAGGGTTTCTCTGTGTAGCTTTGGAGCCTATCCTGGCACTTGTTCTGGAGACCAGGCTGGCCTTGAACTCACAGAGATCCGCCTGCCTCTGCCTCCCGGTGCTGAGATTAAAGCCGTGCGCCATCAACGCCCGACAAGGACATGTGATTCTTAAGGCCCTGTAAATCTGCTGAGCCAGCTTGCACTATAGAGTTCTCAGCTGTGGTGTCTGGAGCTGCGCATTGCCATCATTTGGGGACTTTACTGTTCGATTATTTGCAAAGGCACCACATTTGGCTTTTAAGGATCTTCTTGTTTAACAGAGAGATAGATCATAAAAGTGTTTTCCAAATCATACTCTTGAGTGAAGACAGAATTTGCCTACTACAGTTCCTCGAGCCTCTAACTTTTCAGTTATACAGGAAAATGAGATGACTTTCAGAAGGTGGTAGTTAGTGAACTCAAGCTGGCTGATATTAACTTTACCTCCTCTCCAGCTGCTCACAAACCGTCTGTTAATCCTTTACTCAGTACTTTGGCTAGGGACTGATGTAGGACCCATTGTTAAAATTTTCTGCTTTAATTATTTCCTGGTATATTAAAAGAAATATTAATACATGGTTGCAGAATAAATTTAGCATTGTCAGGTAATTGGAGCAAGGGACTGTACAATAGTACTTACTATGAAAGATTAATATTGTAACAGAAATAGAACAGCAAGAAGTCTATTCAATGACAGATTGACAATTGCTCAGTGTGGGAAGCAGAGTTCTTGTGTGGTATAAACTCTACTGGATTGGAAATAAAAACTGTGGGTTTCTTATGAGGGAGGGGGACTGGTGCCCTGCCATCATGTTTGAACTTCCCTTGAGTGTATTCTGAACTGCAGAACTAGTGATGGGAGGAGAAAGAAGGTAGGAGCCATTTTCACAGAAGGCTTAATAAATAATCAAATGCTTTGATAAGCATCAGTTAAAGAGATAATCATAATATTTTAGATTTTTATGGCTTAAAATATATTCACGACATTTATCAGCTTATAGAAAGTGAAAACTGATTCGATCATAGATGCAAAGATATCCAGAAGTGATTATGAGTTAACCATGAAGAACCACGGAAGACTGGCTAGCAATGTAGACACAGGTGGAGGGAGCCCAGACAAAGGAACTCCAGTGTTGCCTGACTTTAGAGAGCACCATTCCTAGGAATCCTACAGTTTTGGGGTGCTCCCTAGTGCTGTGCTGCCTGGTAGTAAAACTTGAGGATAGTACATTACAAAGTCACAATGCTTGCCCTCTTACTAAGAATGGCTTTGCTCTTCCCCTTGCATGTATACCCAAACATGTTTTTAGTACCTTCAGGTTTTTCACTTGTTCTTCCTAGGGCTCCTGACTCTTCACACAGATCACACTGTCGATGCTCCTCCTTTGTACTTTTGTTTGCTAAGGTTTCATCTCCAAGCATCACACAGTACTCTGGACAGATGCCTCTGCCTCTCTTTCCTGACAGGCTTGCATGCCATTGAATAATCTGATGACTTTCCTTTCTCCCTGCATCAGTTTCTTTTTCCCAATTTCTTTGGCATTTCTCTCAAGTTCTGTTTCACAAAGTCTCTTGATGACACATACCAAGTCGTGATCACCATCTATAAAATGAAGAAGTGGTCTGTCTGCTCGGCTACCTGGATCCACCCTTTTCAATGGGTTGACTAAGGTCTTTGTGATGGTGCCCTGTGTCCTCACTCCATCAGCTTCTTAGCAGATTTACTGCGTGCCTGTACTCTACGTTTGTACACACTTTGTATGTTCTTACTGGGTTCTTTCAAGTTTTATCTCTGGACTTTCCTTCTTGTTCTTAGCTTCACTACTGACTGGAGTATTCTTGATCTTTACCATCACCTGATAAATATTTAAGCTGTCTGTCTCTGCCTCTTGCCCTGGCTCTTCATCCTGTCTTGTAGCTACTCCCCATGACCGCTGTGGCCCACTCAGACTCTTGGACACCTTAGGGGAAGTTCTTTGTTGGGCCACAGGAACTGGCCCAGACACTTGGAGGTGTGTGGGGGAAGTGTGTGTGTGGGTTCTTGCTTCTACCTGTGTGACTGCCAATGGAAGGGAAATTCCTCAATCAGTTAATGAAACTCTTAGTCAGAAAAAATATGTTTGATATTTGGTTTTCTTGTTTACTAGGCGGTCTCATGGTGGCTCTCATTTAAACTCTAAAATATTTGTCTTCTCATTTGTAAAATGAAAAACCAAATCCATGCAAATCCCAAATCAGAGATTCCTTTGGACAAGGAATAGGTCACATGGAGAGAAAGAGGAGACGTGGTTCACGAAAGAGGCACACTGAGACAAATTGTTCTTTGGGTGAGCGCTTTACTTACTAAGGGGGCGACACTACAGACAACACTCAAGCTTCTGAAGAAAGAGCCATCAGTTTCCAAAGACAAAGTGAGGTGTCTATTCCTAAAGGACCCTGAGGGAGGGGGCGATCCCTCCACCAGGAAGCAGCAGGGATGTTTGGCCCTTTAGGAGAGCTGAGCGAAGAGAAATATTGGCGGTCACAGCCAGGAGCCTGAAGTGTGAGGTAGTGACGTGTGGAAGGTTTATGATCGAATGATAACCACATACGATGATATATAGAAGAAGATTTTGCAGTCTATGTGGAGAACAGGTTGTCACAACTTTATCATTTCTATTACTTTGTTTCTTCTGATTGTAATTTTAAGAGATCTGCTCTTGGTACTCATGGGAAGCTGGAAGGTCACTTAGCACAGGAACATCATATATGAGTCAGGCTTCAGGAATTAGGGCGGTGATAACCATCCTTCCGCAGACATTGGCAGAGCCCCTACTGTGTGCTAACCCCTGCTGACATGAAGGTGGTTTGAACTAATCTGTACTTCACATTCCTTGAGCTCCATAGCCAGCTGCTTGTCACTTTTCTCAAAAATGTCTTGTTACGAGATCCTCCTGTGTGAAACCTTTCTTACATTGTGCATTCCTAAATCCACACATCCTTAACAAAGCTGTTTGCTATAGAAACAAAGATCGAACACATCCAGAGTCCACCTTGGCTTCATTTCCCACCCCTGTACTTCACATTACATTTTATGTCTTCCTATAGTGGCTTTTGCTTTAACTGTTCCTCTGGGTTCTTCATAACTCTGCAAAGACTCCAGGAAGCAGCCCCGTTTTGTGTGAGCTGAGATATGCTGACAAGTGGTCCTCGAGCACTCTGTATAATGTGACAGAAAAGCCCCAGGCTCAGGGCCTGGAGGCCTAGCGTCTGCTGAGAGAAGGGCTGGTATTTATTCCTTTCCATGTACCCAGGATTTATTAGCTACCTAGCAACAATGACTGCATTCAACAACTGTAGACCTGGATATGTCCCATGGCTCACTTACTGTAAAAAGGCAGTGCCTGTAACTTCTGTTTGCCTCCAAGATCCTGGATATGTGAGGTGTCAATTCTTCTTGAAACAAGTGATGATTTTGTTCCCAAAACTGGAGTCTTGTTGGGGTTGTGGCTGGAGCTGTGCTCTGGGGAAGCAGTGGAGGACTTGCAAATCCAGGGATACTGTAGAGCCTGCGTCCTCAGGGAAAGACCGGTGTACAAAGGTGTGGTAGTGGAGAATGAGACTAGCTGGGTCTTCAAGGAACCAGGGCCATCATCAGACATCATCTGAAAGGCAAATGCAGTCACTGAAGGATTCTAAGAGACAGTTCTCTATATTTATCTCTGTAATTTGCTACAAGGCGCAAGATCACACAGGAATTATACAGCCAACATATCATGAGATAATTCAGAAGACTTAAGAATTCTTCTGATGTATAAAACCAGCACAAAAATTGTATTTGGCTTTATAGTCTTGTGAAAGAAATGGCTGTTTCTTGATGTAGATTGTCCCTGGAGCTTATTCCTTTCTGCAACAAACTTGGAATTTACTTCTCACAGTTTGGCACTATCCGATCCTTTACTGGGAACAAATTTCCCCACGCAGCTGAAGTTTACTGATTACACTTCCTAGCTATGTGTAAAGTCTGTTCTCTATTAACAGGTCCTAGTTTACTGGTTATGTTCCTTAGCTATGTGTGAGGCCTGTTTCCCACTATCAGGTCCTTGTTCCCTTCACCACTGTAATTGCAGAGATCTGCCTTCCTGCAATTATCCTTATTGATAGTAATTATTACAAAGTCCAGTTTATTTACTTGGTGTTTTTTATTTACAAATTTATTCTTATATTCAAAATAAATATCTTTTATGTTTGTTTGTTTGTTTTTTGAGACAGGGTTTCTCTGTGTAGCCCTGGCTGCCATAGGAACTTGCTCTGTAAACTAGGCTGACCTTGAAATCAGAGTTCCACTTGTCTCTGCCTTCCTGAGCACTGGGATGAAAGGTGTCAACCATCACACATGGCTCTCATATTCAAATTAAATTTACCAAATGATAGTAATTTATATATTGCTTTTACTAAAAACCTACAAGTTTCTCAAAGTGCATACATGCACATGTACATACACACATACATGTGAACACACACACACACACACACACACACACACACACACTGCCATTCTCAAGCATACATGCATACAATTTAGTTAAAATTAAGTTAAGCATCATCCCTGAGAACACTGGATAGTCTAAAATACTCTTGGGCCACCGAGTCATGCTCTAGGAAACACTAAGTCAGTAGCTCTTTGTAAACTAATTGGAATCAGCCTTCTTTACAGTGTCAGGAAATGCCACTTGGGTGACCTCAGACTCTTAACACTATAGTGCATCTTCTTCCTATGGGAAATCTGTGTTTCAGACTGTGTTTTCCATGATGTGAATTTGTGAAACTTTTCTTATGTGTGAAATGATTATTAATAAAAAAAACAAAAAAAACAAAACTCTGGGGTTGCAGAAAAGTGATTAATTCTTGTCTTTTGGACTAGGATGGAAGACTCCTGCCTGAGTATAAGAACAGCATCATTCAGTTGGGTGCCATTTATGACTCTTACCAGGGCTTGTATGTGTGTGATTACACTCAGTCGGATAATGTGAGCTCCTGGACAGTCCGAGCTGTGGTTCAAGTGAGAACCATTGGTAAGTGAGGCTTTTTCTGAACTCTGGCTGACCAGTGAAAATCATCTTTCTTTGGTTAAGTAATTATTTCCCTTTAGAGAAGAAAAGAGATATTCAGCCACTGGCAACCCTTAAAGGTCTGTGTGTTGGCAAAAACCGAGGTCCAATACCACAAAGAGACTCAGTTCTGGGTCTTGTTCATGTTGTCACAAGTTGGAATATCTGTTCCTTCCTCTCTGATTTCTTTTTGCAATAAACTTGAATATGCATTAGATATTTTATAATTTAAATATGTATTAGATATTCATACTTGAAACAAGATATTCATAGGCCTATTTAATATGTGTTAATGTTTTTCCACATGTTTAAAATCTTGTTCTTTTATTTTTTTAAAAAAAGGGACATTGATTGCTGCTATAGCTTGAGATCTGAGCCCCATTCCCTTTCCTAAGAGGCATCCATAGATGTCAGACTAGATCAGTGGTTCTCAACCATCATAATGCTGTGACCCTTCAATACAGGTCCTCATTTTGCAGTGACACTCAACCCTAAAATTATTTTCATTGATACTTTGTAAGTGTAATTTTGTTGTTACAAATCATAATGTAAATATTGGTGTTTTTCGATGGTCTTAAGTGACCCCTGTGAAAGGGCCATTTGACCCTAAAAGGGTTGTGACCCACAGATTGAGAACCACTGATCTAGATGTTTTACAGTTCTTCTTTTGTGCTTTTCCCACACATGTGTACACCCATTTTATTCATTGACAAAATACAATACTATCTTTTGCACCTTAAACACACACTATTACACTAAGGTAATGCTTGCCAGTTTTTACCCCTTATTAATGATGAACAAATTTTCAGTATTCCTAAATAATATTTGGGGTTATGAGATGCTTTGATTGTATCAAGTAGTTTGGTTTTTTTCTCCCAATTTATTATTCCCTGATTAACAGGGAAGTTAAATCCCTCATCCTGTATTTTTTACTGTTTTGGATTGAGTCTTCCTTCCACAGCTCTCCGTTGGGTCATTTGTAGCTGATCTACAAACAACAGCACAGCTAAATGATAGTTGTAAGTAATTTAGCCTTGGCTTTTGGGCCTAAAACATAAGAAAAGGAGTCATTCATACTTGTGCCAAAGAGCAACAGGGTATTTGACTAAGTTCTCAGTGAAATCATTAATGAAGTTTACTTCTGGTTTCTTTATTGCAAGATACAGTCCAGTGGGAGTGCATTAAGATGGAGACACCTCTGCTTATTCCCGGTCCTTGCTCTTCCCGTGGCTTTATTGTGTAAGAGAGTGCTCCTGAGGGGAGAAGTTCCATGTACAGACAGACCATGCTGGCATGACTTTCTCCAGCTTGTGATGTGCAAATATTCTTTTACTTGGTCATCCACCTCTAAATTCTCAGTGATGGAATTTAATTTCCTCTTTCACTTGAAAGTCTATTACATCAATGGCATTCATTCCCGGACATCACTGTGCCTCATCCTTCTCATTTTAATGATTTCTCCCCCACATTCCTATAGCATAGATACGAAGCTTCTGTGGCAACTTTGGATTAAGGATTAGTGCCCAGAGATGTTCTCTTACTTCTAAGAATTGACTATTTTATGGGTCAGAGACACAGAAAGCAGGAAGTCACTGCCCAGTGTAGAAGGAAAAGAAGGAGCAGTGGTCATGTGTAAGGCCCACCAGGCCCAACACTGGTGAAGCAAATCCAAGCAGGACCCCTGGGAAAAGAAGAATCAACAATGACATTCACTCCACTGGGAAGAGAGGGGTGGATGGATTCATTCTGGTAGAGACAGGAGCCCATTGACATCCAGGAATCATGAAAAAACCAGGATACACATGAGGAAGAGAAGATCAGAGAACAGGGTGGGGAGTGTGACTCTGAGAGCAGGGCCTACTGCATACTCCAAGCTAGTTTCAAGTTTTGGTTTCAGCCTTCATTATGCATGGAGATTTTTGTGCCTGTTCATTTGTTTCCTTTTTCCAGACAAGATTTCCCTGTGTATACCAGGCTAGCCTAGCATTCACATGTAGCCTATGCTGGCCTCAAACTTGGGATCAACCTCCTTAGTGCTGGGGTCGTAGGTGTGTGTTACTGCTTCTGACAAGTTTGGGAGTTTTATCCAAGGGACATTAGGGGACCACCCACTACTGCAATGCATAAAAGAATCACGAAGAGACTTGTATCCAGGCTAGATCTGACAAGAGGCAATATTTTCGAGAGTAAGTATGGAGGCAGGAGAGACATTGTTATCCAGTAGGGGGTAACAAAGGGCATGAATTGAAAGGGATGGGCCTAGAAATAGCTAAGAGATGCTTCTGTGAGGATTTGGGACATAGGAACAGGAAAAGTCAAAGAGGAGAGTCAGGGTTGAGATGTCTTCTACTGATACTGATCAAGGTAGAGGTAGGTGGGGCCAGCAAGCTTGATTGACAGTAACAAAAGATGCCCAAGGAAGTGGAAGGAATGGAGTTTCTGAGTCAACAGAACAGGGTGTGTTTCACAAAACAAATGCAAAGAAGACAACATGGACATTCTAGTTTTCTGAGGGCGTCAATCAGTAAATGCTAGCACTGTTTAATAAGCATGAAAGACAAAGAGGAGGAGAAAGTCTAAGGAGGGCAGGAACTGCTAACACGGAAGAACTTCAGTCATGGTGCTGCAATGAAGAGGAGGTGTTTAGTCAGTGATGGAGATGCCAGCGCTGAGATGGGAGTGTGAGAATGGCTGAGTGTGAAGAGGGTTTCTGAGACTGAGCCCTGGGGTGTTTCTAACATGTGCAAAGACAGAGGAGGAGCAAGATCTCCATGAAACATACATCAGTGCCAGGGGAAGGGAGAAGTTTATGGTGTGCTAGCAAAATGCCTTTGGAGGCCAAGACTGTCCGGAGGATGCAGTGAGGAGTGTAGACGCTGACGGCCCAAGAGAGATGGAGTAGATGAGGAAGCCAATATGAAGTGAGAGTCAAAGACGCTGTCCGCAGAGGCCACCACTTTCCCTGGAGACAGGATAACTTCAGAAGAAAGCAGAACAGTGGAGGAACCTTTGAAAGTCCGTGGCAGGAAAGAAAAAGGCAAAGTAAAATCAGAGGCCAGATGCCCCTTCAGTCTAAGCTAAACCACGAGTTTAAGGTTGGCGGGGTGGATAGTTTTGAATCTCAGTTCCTTGGTCTGGTTGTCCCTCTTGGTTGGTGACTCAGCCAAATGGCAACAAGGAGAAATCTTGTAGGTGACACAGATGGAGGCTTAAGTCTCAAGTGTGGGTGTGGGGAGTTGTAACTGTAGGGGGGTGTGCATATGTATTTGTGTGTGTGTGTGTGTGTGTGTGTGTGTAGGCCAGAGTACAAACTTGGGTTTTACGTCACAGGTATATTCCATCATTTCTGTTGACACAGAGTTTCACACTATCCTGTAACTTGCCATGTGAGCTAGGCTGGCCAGCCGGAGAGCCCTAGCTATCTGTTTGGTTCCATGGGTCATACTCAGATCCTTGAGCTTGTGTGGCAAGCACTGTACTGATGGAGCTATCATTCCAGCCCCAAAGAAGCAACTTTCTGAGTGGCAATCCCAATTCCCACATTTATGCATTCTGGGTAAAATGAGCAAACAAACAAACAGAGCACTAGTGTTGAGCAGATACAGATACTCCCAAATCTTCAGCAAGCAGGCCTTCAGATTTCTTAACGCAAAGGGCAATTTTTGTTTTCATCTTTCAGTTAAAGACATCAATCTGAAACCAGACATTCTGGATCCCATCACAGACACTCTGGAAGTAGAGCTTGGTAAGTTGCTGGATAGTACCATACCTGATGACCCTGTGTTTCAGGGAATAGATCGAAGTGTGACATAAAGGGCCATTAGACTTTCAAGTAAGAGTACTGGCTGTGAACCTTGGCTTGGTCCCAACTTTTGTCATCAGAGATGGTTTCTTAATCCTTCTAAGCCCCAGCCATTAGATCTGCCCCTCACTGTCGAATGCTGACCTTGCATTGAGAGAGAGTGAGGAAACATATTCTAAGTGCCCAGTGAACTAAACAAGATAAGGTTTTAAATTCTTCCCACGAAAAGATATACAGACATGCATATATTCCCATTTAGGTTTTGGGTATGAATTTACGAAGTTAGCATTAACCCTTATAAATATGACACTTGAGCTATTCTTTAGGAAAATTACAGCAAGCATCTCTTGCTTAAATGTATTCCAAAATGGTGCTTTCTTCTGGGGAAGAGGAGAAATTGACTTTCATTTGATTGTCTTTTATGTTTTCGTCAAATTCAATCCCTTATCTATACATAGCCGAGCAGAAATTTTATATCTGAGAACAATTTGTGGTGTTTCTGTGCAGTATTTATTATTTCAAATGCTAATGAAAGATTTAGTTTCGTACAAGGAATTGTAAACAAACTGTTATTACTCTACATGGCCAGTAGATGGTGGTAGTGACACATTCTGGGGCTAGAAATGGTGGAAAGAAGAAAAACAATTCATTAAAAATATACAGACAAGTGTGTAAGGTACCAGTGAATTTTAATGCACTGCTGGTAGGGAAAAGATTAAGGTCCAAAGAGAAGTTTTTAAATGAATTCCCTACCTATTCATCCAGAGGTCAATTCAAAGTGGAGGACAATCCTTACAAGGGTGGTAGGCAAAAGGAGAGTGCTCCAATAGCAGGCCCGGCTCACCCATGGTGCAGTGTGAGGAAGAACAGCTGAGAATCTAGTTTCCTTCCTAAAGTACATGCTATAGTAATGTTGGCAGGGAAGTAAAGCTTTCACATCAAACGTGACAAGAGAGGCATGTGTGACTGTGACCCTGGAACACAGATTCGGGTTACCCCAAGCCCATGTACCATCGTGGAAACAGTTCCATGGCAACAGAAAAAAGGAAATAATAAATTAAGACACTTCAAATACACCAGGGAGAGATCTGCCACCCAGGTTACAGTGCAGGGGGAGACCTCAGCTATAGTCCCAAGGGCTGTCACCCCACAGTTTTAGCATTTTGGTTGATAGAAGCCAGTGGTTTGCTACACTTACACATTCTTTAAAAAAATCTAATACATCCTAATAGTCATGAGGATGGTAAGTCAGCCATGGAGGTAGTCAAGGAATGACTCTTAAGGAAGGTAACACAGACCTGAGGTAAATTAGGACAAGGTTGTGGACCTAGAATATCCCAACATTTCCGTGATCCTTGAGGTCCTAACAATGAGTTGGGCTTGTAGAAGTTTCAGTGTAAGTGTGTGTGGTTTTTTTCTTCTTCAGGACTTTTTGTTCATGGTAACCTCATGACATTTGTTCATTCAATGTGTACATATCAATTAGTAGAATGATATTTTTGATGAGTGGACTGTTCACAGAGCTCCAACTTTTCTACAGTGATATGATTGTGAAATCCCCCAGTTAAGGACATAGCTGCACATTTGAGATACACAAATTAGCCACAAGAAGTGTGTTGCTAAGTGGGATGTGCTGATGCTTGCTTATTCCTGGTACCCACTGCCATGGAACCTGTCTGCATCTCAGTGCAGCCTCTGTTCTTCCAGTCACAGCAATGCTCTGATATGCTTCCTTCCTGTTTCCCTGACCTCTGCATTTTCAGGAAAGTCTTTGACTCTACCCTGCAAAGTCCAATTTGGCTTCCAAAGAGACTTCCAGCCTGTAGTAAAGTGGTATGTCAAAGAATCTACTCAGGAGTGGGAATTCAACGTATTTGAGGAGAAAAGGTAAGAAAAAGCTAATGAACTTTAGTCATTGCAACCCAAATTAGATGCTTTCAAACCTTTAGGAATTTCTAAAACATGTAGAGTTAACACAGTGGTAAAAATAAAAATACATGAATTCTATCTATCTATCCATCCATCCACCTATCCATTTGTCATCTATCTACCTATCTCTCATCTATCATACTAGTTTAAAACTTTCAGACTCTCTATTTCTGATGAGACCACAAAGTGAACTAGGTATGCATAGCAGTTAGTCAATGATGGAACAATATACAATAATGGTCCCTTAAGACTGTATCACTTAGTAATGTTAGGGCCATCTTGACTGTGTTAAGTACACTATGATGTTTGCATGATGGTTTAAAACACCCTAGACCATGTTAAAGTGTTTTTAATTTAATTTAATTTTTTGAGACAGGGTTTTATGTATTTCAAACTAGCCTCAAACTCTCTATGTAGACAAGGATAAACTTGAACTTCTCAAGTGCTGGGATTACAGGCTTGTACCATCACACTCTCTGTATGTGGGGCTTGAGGTCTAACCCAGAACCTCATGAATATTAGATCAGCACTCTACCCACAGAATCAACCATATCCAAAGCTCTTTCCCTTTGACTTTGTTTCTCTCTCTGCCTCTCTCTGTCTCTGTCTTTTGGTCCCAGGACATCTAGTCTGTTGAGTACAGTTCACATCCTCTGCTCACCAAGGGATTTAAAAGTTCATTGTTTTAAAAACTAAGGTAAACCAGTAGATGGATACACTCAGATGGGCGAGGGTGCTTCCTGCCATACCCAGTTTTCCACTGTGCCTTCATCCGGTGTGTTACAGAAATGGCACCAAAATACAGATTCTGACAAAGGAAGAGTTGGTGACACCGCTGACGTTGGGGTGGAGCCTTAGAAGGAAAATGCAGGCTGGCCGCAACATTTTATGATAATTATACATTGTTTATTGTTGTCTGTGACTAACATAAAACCTGGAATTGTATGGTAGAACTTGACCAGTTGAAAGGAAAGTTCAGCGACAAGCCATCCAAGTCTGGAAAAACAAGTCTCTAGCCCTAGGTGAAAGAGCTGGGGTCCCATCAAGACTAGTTAGACATGTCACTAGAAGAAGTGTCCTCCCATTTCTGCATGAGACCCAAAGTAAGGGTCTACAGAAAGTTCCCTCTAGTTTTTTTTTAAAAATATTTTATCTATTAAGTTTTATGTATCAGCACTCTATGGGCATGTACACCTTTATTACAGAGGAGGGCTTCAGACCCCCACTATAGATGGTTGTGAGTCACCATGTGCTTGCTGGGAATTGAACCCAGGACCTCTGGAAGAACAGCCAGCTCTTAACTGCTGAGCAATCTTTCCAGTCCCCATTCCCTCTAGTTTATTAAAAAATATTTCACTGAACAAATGTGTACTTTGAAAACCACAGATAAAGAGTAAAGGAAAGATTTTACTAAAGAAACTGAAATTCAGAAAGGTGTTCAAACGTCAAGGAAGCCATTGGATCTTAAACTGACACTGTGTGAGTCATTGCTTAACAAGTGTCACACACCTGAGGATTTCAATCTGTTTTCCAGGAAGTGGCCAGGTGACCCTGGTCCTCTGTGAGGCTCCATTACAGATGTGTGTTTTCTGTGACTGGAAACCTCCACTTTGCAAGGTCACTGTAAGGGACAGATGCAGTAGAAGCCACATGTGTGTCACAATGTGTGATAGGCAGGAAACATTCTCGGGCTAACTCTAGACTCACAGGATAACCTAAAACACCCACTTGAACACTGTTCCTTAATGTGACAAATGGATGATGTAATTTTAGACGTAGGAACCGAATACATGGGGAGAATTTTCTCAGCAGGGCAGATTGGCAGAGATCTGGGAGCCAGGCTGGAGTTCAGACATACCACAGGATGGTGTCACTACTGTAGCCCGATTCTGCTCATCTGTCCTCTGGGCCTTGGCCCTGACACTACCAAGTTAGGATGTTCACCTCGTGACACCTAGGGTTTGTGTGCAGTGAGAAGGGAAGGGAATGGAGAAGCCATAATTAGTGCTCAGCAGAGTACCTGTCAAAAAACTGAAAGAGGAATTATCTCTATGTGCAGGTGTTTGATGGCAAGTGTGTGTGTGTGTGTGTGTGTGTGTGTGTGCCTCCAGTGAATGGCAGGTCAGAGTCTTTTGCTGACTAAGCTAACCTGGTCAGCCAGGGAGCTGCAGAGATCTGCCTACTCATTTCTGGCTTCCCAATTTGGGGTTTACAAATACATGTCACCATGCCTAGTTTTTTACATGGGTTCTGGGGGATTGAACTTAAGGCTTCATGCTTGGGAAGCAAACACTTTCCAGAGTGAGATTATTCTTATATTTTTGGGATGCTACATTCCCAGGGAGAGCTCTTAGAGTAAAGTTCAGATGAGGGCTCAAGTAACTTACAACTTAGTGTAAATCTTTAGCAGAATCTATCACTTGATCAAGAATGAGAGCCTCCTCCATCATTCCCTGCTCGTGCACTGTCTTCTTTTTTTGTCTGTGTGCTTTTCTTTGTTTCCTAATTTTATTTATTTTTATTTTTTTTCATTCATTTATTTAGCTCATAAATAAAGTCATGCACAATTATGATACAGAATACAGTATGTTCACAATGGCATGGCTAAATTAAACCAATTAACATGTTATATCACACATATTCATCATTTTTGTTTTGAGAACACTTAAAGTATACTATCTCACAACTTTTAAAATATAGCACATTGTTATCAACCATATTTATCATGCTCTCAGTAGACCTCAAGACTTCAGAGAGTCCATGCCTCTTGTCCAACTGCAGTTTTATATCCTTAAACCAATAGTTTCCCCATTGTTAAAAGCCCCACATTGAAGCCTAATAGCCACAATTCTGCTCTCTGTTCCCATAAGTTCATCATTGCTAGGTTACACATACAATTGAAATTGTGTGACATTTGTCTTCCAGTGTGTTTTCAATAGCAGCAACAGCTTTTCCAGGTTCTGCAGTCATTTGAACAAAATTGTAGAGACATCCAGCACACTCCATTTAAAAAAAACAACAAAAAAACAAACCAAAAACAAACCAAAAACAAAAAAAAAAAAACAGAAAAACAACAACAACAAAAAAGTAAAAAACAAAATCCCGGAAAACAGCACAGTTCTGTTACTATTGTGGTACTTGACACCATTTTTGTTTGAATTAGCTTCTCAGTCATCAACTGGGAGGAAACCATTCTGAGCAACATCATTAAAAACAGCTCTGATAAAGCATGGTCACTACTATGTATCATAAAGCAGGTCCACATATGAGTGCGTACATATCATGTTTGTCTTTTTGTGATTGGGTTACCTCGCTCAGAATGGTTTCTTCGTGTTCCATCCATTTTCCTGCAAATTTCAAGATTCCATTGTTTTTATCTGCTGAGTAGTACTCCATTGTGTCAATGTACCACAATTTCTCTATCCATTCTTCGGTTGAGGGGCATCTAGGCTGCTTCCAATTTCTGGCTATTACAAATTATGCTGCTATGAACATGGTTGAACATATGTCCTTGTTATATGAATGTGATTCTAGAAGGTCATTTCGTGCACTGTCTTCTTATGGTAAAATCCCACCAGCTCTTTGTCAGTCTTCCAAGCACAGCTGGGTGATTGGCAGTTGATGCTACTGAGTAGGGATGCATTTTTTCCTCCTTTCATAGTATTCAGTCTAACTACAAGAATGAAATCATCGAGCACACTATCTTCCTGAGAGAAGTCACTCAAAGAGACCTTAGCAGAAAGTTTATTTGCTTTGCCCAGAACTCCATTGGGAACACAACTCGGACCATCCAGCTGAAGAAGAAGGAAGGGGGTAAGCCTAGAACTTTGTTCCTAAAGATTGATAATTGCTCTTTTTGAAAGAGGGAGGTATTTTCCTAAGGAGGAGAGGCAGTGCTTTCAACTAACACTTTCCAGACAACTTGATACGCTAATTCATTTAAAGCCTTGACCATGGCCATACAACTGATTTTGACCTCAGCTTCTCAGCTACTACTAATCTGTCCATGAAAACACCTTTTACTCAACTCTCTTGCTACTTACATAGTTTACTCAATTCCATCACCCATTCGTTCACTTCTTCATTCACACATGTACTCAATTCACTCATTCATTCTTCTGGTACCTACGAGAATCTCCAGCCCCCCCCCCCACTTCATCAGGATCAGTGTTCAGACATCACTCTTTCTTGGTTGCCTTTGCTGGCTTGCAGAGAACATGCTAACAGCTAGTAGAAATGTCCACAGAGGAACAGATTGCTCCTTCACAAGATGTTCAGAAATGAGGTTGGTATCAGTCATTCACTCACTCAGTGGATGACTGTAGTACAATCAAGCAAGTGCAAATGTCTTCCGGCCACAGGGTGACGATCGACATTCATGCTTGACCTTCAGATAGTGCATGGTAACAGTGGCTGTTCTCTGTAGATCCCTTACTTATAAGATGAATCACACAGGGTTCAGAGTGAAGCTTATGCAATTTCTGGTCATGGAATGTTTTGACTTTGGTGAAGATGAAAATACAAGATGATAATTTATAACAGGCAACGGGAGAGGTACAAAGAATCTGTGTAGATATTCATAGATACAAAAATAAGTAAAATGGCTAAGTATTGAAAGTCATTCCACCAGGAACTTCCCATGCCCCTTGGCTCTCCAAGTTAATTGTGAACAGTTCCATCCAGATTTAAGATGATGTCAGATACAGGGTAAATGCGGGCAGCAGCAGTGGTTTTTATTGTATAATGGGGTGTGTTGATCCAGATGTGCTGGCTCACAGCTCTGCTTCCCTCAGTGGTGTTTGTCTACATCCTCCTTGGCACAGCCATGATGCTGGCGGGCATTCTGGTAGCAGCGGCCTTTCTCTATTGGTACTGGATTGAAATCGTCCTACTGTGCCGAGCCTACAAGAGCAAGGATGAGACTCTGAGGGGTAAGATCACCCAGCATGCTATTCTCTGACTGAGTGACAAGACACATGTTACTCCCTACCTATCAGCTTTCTTTTCTTTTTTTAAGAGTTGTCTTAGGTATGATTTCACATGCCTCATGCTGGCTGAGCAGCTCATGAAAGAGGAAGTCAAAGGAGCTAATGCCTGATGCGTGGCTTCTTATCTCTCAGGTTTGATGTCTTCTTCCAGCTTTAGCTTTATACCAGAGAAGACCGAAGACACAATTTTAGTCCATTGTACTTACCAGGAACCTTGTAGAAGACACTTTTGTGGGATTTGTGGGGCTGGAAAGTGTTCTTGGTGCTAACTAATCTGAGGTAATAGGCAGGTAACAGTTCTGTGTCTTAGGTCCCTCATCTGTGAAACAGGACTGTCACAGCAGTAGGCAGAGCATAGTGTGTGAGCTCACTGGAATTAGGCATAGCATGCATTTAGAATGATACCTTAGTGTTACAGATGGTTCTTCTCACCAGCCTGGTCCCACAGCCATGTCAGCCCCAAATGAACACACGGATGCTATATTACTTGTAATACAGTTGGCCGTTGACTAGGGCTTCTTATTGGCTAACTCTGTCTTAATGATTAACCCATAACTACTAATCTAGGTATTTCTACATGGTTTTATCTTACCGGAAAATGCCTGACTTGAATCCTCTCTTCCTGGGATCACATGACGACTCCTTTCTGCCTCTACTTTCCAGAATCCTCCACATCTCCTAGACCTACCTATCTTGCTGCCCTATTGGCCAACAGTGTTTTATTCATCAACCAATAAGATAAACATATACAGAAGGACAACCCCATCACCTTAGTGGATAAGAACTCAGTTTAGTCTGCAACAGGTGTCCATTGAGGACTGGAACTCATGCCTTGCCTGTGTATTGACCCTTCTTACTTCTCAGGCACAGAAGGAAGAAGCTTGGTCTTCAGATTAGACCACTAGAAACAGCTGTATCTCGGTCTTAAATCTACTAAGCCTGGCTTCAGGAAATCCTGTCATCTGGGTTATTGTCATGTTAAAATAAGACATTCCAGGTCAGGGCCAGGGATTTGTTCCGAGTGGCAAGTTACACAAAATACGAGTCCCATTACTACCGATGAAGTTTCTGTCAATGTACCCACAAGACATGATCACAGTACTCATCAGTGCCATATGGGACTAGACTACTGCTTCAACTTTTGCTGGCCCGGGGGAGAACCTTACATTGGTATATTAACAGGTTCAGTGAATGATTCTGCTGCTTGGAGCAGAAGCACTTCCTGCTAGGTGTCAGATGAAAATGGAGGCTCCTATGGAAGCCAGTGGCTTCTGCAGAAGGAAGTAACCTCATCCAGAAAGGGAAGTAAAAAATGTGCCAGGTTCAACCCCTGACACCAGAAAACAAAAAGAGTCACCCAGAACCAAGCTAAGAAAACAGGAGAAAAATGCGTATGTCCCAACTTTCTTTAGATTAATTATTAATCGCATCCTTTGAAATCCTTAAGCGAAGAGTATTTTCAGAAGTTTTTTTTTGTTTGTTTAATTACTTTTTAATTTGAATGGAACAACTTCTAACCATTTTTCCCAGGTGACTTCTCACTTCTTTCACTAAAGTGTTTTTCATCTTAAGAGTCTAGAGTTTATGAAGAAGGGTCCGTTGATCAGGAAATATTCAAATCTGTCCTTTGCCATTTTACTTTTCAATTATGCAATAATGTGCGCTGCACAAGAATTGAGTTTTCAAGCATGGTGATTTAGTGCCCTCTGCTGGTCAGACTGAGGTTTGCCCACAAAATGCAAACCCAGGAGTTTATTGTGACTATTTCAACTTAATTTAGAAAGAAATACTGTTAGAAGGACATAAGTAGGTCCTTTAACACCACATTCCGTAATTTAATTACTAAATAAATTTATCTGTTGCATAATAGAGAAACCCTGGGGCTTTTACAAGACAATGGATGGAATAGAGGCAGCCATGGTGTGTCACTCATTTAAATACATCAGCACTTACCTGAAGGTCACATCCCCCAGTCTCCTCTTTCCTATATGGGCAATCAAGTACTTCACAAAGCAGCTTCTGGGACTTCTACTCTGTACCCTCATCTCGAGTCTTGATGTTTGGTTTTCCTTGTGCTTGGCAATCCATACTGGGCAAGTCCACTGCCAAACATCCTGGGACACTAGTTACCTGTAACAACCCTGTGTGTGGAGGTTATGAAACAGGCTGCAGTATAAACTCCAGGCGATTCATCCCAAAGCCTGTGAGTTAACTTGTGGGGTTTTCTGTCTTTTCTAGGCAATTCTTTAGCATGGCTCATTACTTGCCTGCCTGACAGGAACACACGAAACATTCACAGTATCCTAAAACAATGTCTATAAATGTAGCTTCTCAAATATAAAGGGAGGGCTGGGTAAGAGCCAGAGACTGCAGCATAGCAATATACTTTACCTCATGCAACCCTTGACAGCCTGCTGGGGAGCCTCTCCTGACCTCAGCCTACACTCTCGGATTCAGAGACAAGCACTGTCATGTGCCACTTAAGGACAAATGTATCCTTTAGGCTACCTTTCTTTGTAGAAACAAACTGTACTGTACTTGTATAAATCTAGATGGTATGGCCAACCACACACTAGGCTGTGGGCTCTCTGGATAGTGTGTTTATATAAATCTATTACTACACACACACACATGTACAATTTATGTAGATGTATTGAGATATATCCCTACTATTCCTAGATTTACGATGAGCAAAACAACCAACATTCAACTAAGCAGAAGAGAAAAATGATCAAATCAAGAGACTTGATAAATACCAGCTGTGTGAGGCTGCTGCTGGTGTTTGCTGGTGTTAGAGCAAATACTGTTTAGATGTGGGCGTGCATTCTACATGATGACAAGGGTACTGTGATAAATGTTTAGGACAGTCACACAGATACGCATTGTCAAGCATTATGTACTGGGCATGGTTGGACTGCTATACTTCTGTGTGTTCAGCACGTAGTGGACCATAGCAACATCACTGTACACGGGAGGAAGGTGATGCACTGCAATGTGGTGATGGCTACAAGCAGCACTAAGTGATAGGGATTACCTGTGTGTTAGTTTACGGAACCTCCTCTGCGCATGCGCCCACTATTGACCGCACCCACACTTCCTCCTGGTGCATGGCTTTAAATGTGCCGTCATCCCTTGGATGGATTCGAGGTTATGGTCTTAGCTTTCTGGTTATTATCATGCTTTAATGGAGCAGACTCATCTTTGATGTGTAACTTAATGAGCCAGAAACACTGCAGATGCAAAGAAAGGCGCCCTCCCGATCACACGCGATTCAATCACGGGAGGCCCCAGCTGTTTGATCCATTCCCAGCGAAGATACAGGGGCGCTTCATAAATTAATCAGTGGGTTTTACACGGACAATCAAAATCACTCGGCGGTGTGATTTTAAAATGGATGCATCTGCTGGGTTTGTTTTTAATTCATTTTTGTAAGGATCCCAAATCTTATTTCTTATCCATTTAACAGCATATGCTCTGAGTGTCTGTACACGCCATGTCAGCTAAGAAAAAGAACACTGGCTGTGCGTTTGTTCTTTTTCCTCAGACAAGAAGGAGTTTAATGCCTTTATATCTTATGCAAACCGGAGCTCTCCCGAGAGCGAAGCTGCCGGATCACTGAGTGAGGAACACTTGGCCTTGAATCTTTTCCCGGAAGTGCTAGAAAACAAATACGGATACACCTTGTGTTTGCTTGAAAGGGATGTGACTCCGGGAGGAGGTAGGTCTCACCTGTTGAGAAACCAATTAGAACACAAAGAGTAACCCACTGTAGCTCAAAGATTTTTCTATCTTGCCTCCTGTCTGGTTTACATTTTCTGTGTGTGTGTGTGTGTGTGTGTGTTCTCTCTCTCTCTCTCTCTCTCTCTGTGTGTGTGTGTGTGTGTGTGTGTGTGTGTGTGTGTGTGTGTGTGTTTTAATGAGATTAGATTATTTTGGGCAAGAATACAGAAACACATGTTCAAGAGACACACTCTTATCTTCTAAAAATACCTATTTTCAGGAGAATAATAAATAATAGAAGACTCTGGGAAGGCCATCCAGGACAAAGTCCGACCGTCCATGCCCCCCCCCACCTCTCCATTCTTTGTGGGAAATGATCTGCCTCATCTCAAACAGATGGCCTTCCTAGGCTCTAGAATTCTACTTTTCAAATTCTCAGCATGATGTGCAGCAGGCCAGTCAGCTGGATGTCACCCATGAAGTATCCAGGCCAAGAATGGCCCCACTAATCTTCCTTGCCTCAGATACTTCTACAAGGAGCTTGGGATATACTGTATCAGCCTGGGATATACAGTATCTTTCAGTCATGCTCCAACCTGACTTAGATGGTTTAGATGGTGGTTTAGAGAGACAGAATAGGAGAAGGTCTCTGGGTACTGGTGTCTATCTTCAACAGTCCTGAGTGGTGACAGTAAAGGGTACAGAGGAAACTCTCCTCCTTATCTCTTTGCCCAAGAATAGCCAAATTAGAAGAAACCCAGCAGGCATCTCTTGGAGGGTCAAAGTTGTTAGGACTCAAGTTTTAATGGCATTGTTTGAAAGTCATTAATTTGTTTCCAGTGTATGCAGACGACATTGTGAACATCATTAAGAAAAGCCGAAGAGGAATATTTATCCTGAGTCCCAGCTATGTCAACGGACCCTGTGTCTTTGAACTACAAGCAGCAGTGAACCTTGCCTTGGTTGATCAGACACTGAAGTTAATTTTAATTAAGTTCTGTTCCTTCCAAGTGCCAGAATCTCTACCGTATCTAGTCAAAAAGGCTCTCCGGGTTCTTCCCACCGTCACATGGAGAGGCTTGAAATCTGTCCAACCCAGTTCCAGGTTCTGGACTCAGATATGTTACCACATGCCCGTGAAGAACTCCAATAGGTTTATGTACAATCGACTCAGAATTATCCCAAGGGGGTTTTCCCCTGAACAGGACCTGGCAAGAGAGAAACCACCCAGAGGGGTACCTGGCTCAGGGAACAGCCATGGAGCCAGGAACCTCCTCCTCTCCAGCCACCAGAAGAGGTGCTGATGGGCAGAACCTGCTGTATGGATCAGGCTGGTAGAAAACTGAGATGTCCTTCTCTCAGTATCAAACAAGCTTGACAGGCGGTAGAATGAAGCCATGGCCATGGTTTAGGGTCTGAGTGCCTGGAATGGACACAGAGAGAGTGTGTGATATCCCGGACCTCTGCATGCACTCGGCCCATGATGCCTGAGAGTCTCCAAGTAGCCTGAGCAGAATCAGCAGGGACAGCTGCTCCTGTATGGCTATGGGCTGTCCACTCTGTCTGCATGTCCCATTAGGAAGGTGGAGTCTGCAGGATTTTGATTTAGGAACAGGATGGAGCTGATTACAATTTCTCCTTGTTTCTTTGGACAGAGACCTTTCATGCAGAAATCCAAGTAGATCATCTTACCCCAAGTAAGTAGGACTAAAAATATGGACTAATTAGGCACAGATCATTAGTTCAGCTATGAGACAAGGAATGGACTAGCAGTTGCCTACAAACTGGAGAGGCATCAATAGTCAAGCTGAGAGAGTCTGGGGCATAGGTGCACACATCCATTGACAAGCAACAAGAATAGAGTGGGTACCATACCTTTGAATGAGCCATTTGCCTGCTTAGGGTGGTCCCTCTGCATGAATACTGACTGAGCAGTCTTAGTTTATGTCTTCCTTGGTAACAAGATGCACTTAAGGGCCAGGCCATCATTTTGATTGGCAAGGTGAATTTGATACTCATAGGTTGACCTGCAGCTAAAATAGGGTTCTAGTTTGGTGTAGATGTTTATGACCTTTGAACAGCCCCTTTCCTGTCAGAAGATGCTCATCATGTGGGCAGTGAAGGACAGCACCCAGTGAACTGACTCTCATGTCATGAGGAAAATCCACTAGGGACCGAATGAGAGTCACGTGCAGAGTAGGTCAGCTACTGCCATCTGGCCACTTGGTGCCTGTGTGAAATGCTCTTCGGGTCCTTCTTCACAGAGGACCACATCATAAGAACCACTGCGGCTTTGGCGCTCAGCATCACCCTTGCTGGAAATCTCAGAGTTAAAGAGGAGCCAAAGGGTATAAATTATGCCGGGAGGAAGTTTCTTGTGGGAAGGATCGTAGTGGGGAGGAACCCGCACTTGTTGAACCACTGTGCCCTGGCTATGGCCAGGTTTCCTGGGTTTCCTGCCAGCCTCTCTCTAAGATTTTAGACTCAGAAACCTCTTCTGGCCAGTGCATCCAGGTTTATCTTGTTCCAAGATAACTGTGTTCCCAACGATTCCAGAGCCCTCCCTGCATTTAGCTTCATTGTGTTTCAGACTTGTACATACATGAAAGCAGAAATACCCAGTCCATGTTTATAGGATGTCCTCTTTCCCATAGCTAGGTCCAAAGAAGATGACAGATTTGCATTTAAGATTAAAAGTTATTGGTATTTACCTCATGCATATTAACCAAACAGAATAATCAAAACAAATTTCCTTTGTGTGAGAGACTGTGGCAGAGCAACTAGACTCTGTGGAGTAACAGCAAAGTTCTAATTTCTTGGCACCATTTAGACAAGGTGGCCATGTATTCTGCCTCTTGTTTTATATGTATTGAGCAAATACAATGGCCACAATGCTTTATTTCACTATAAAGAAGCATTGCCATTTAAATACAGGACTCATTGTCAACCTGTCCTTATCGACCGTGTATGGTCTCCAGACAGTTCTCATAGACCGTTCTCCATAAAATTCACGTTATTCCCAGGCTGACACTTCGAGTAAGATGAAATAAACACATACAGCCCTGGCTGCTTGTTTTATGTCAGCTTGTTACAAGCTAAATTGTTTTAGAAGAGGGAACAACTACTGAGAAAGTGCCCCATCAGATTGACTTGTGGGCAAGCCTGTGGTGCATTTTGTTGATTGATGATTGATGCAGGAAGGCCCAACTCATTGTGGGCGGGGCCACTCCTGGGCTGCTGATCCTGGATGCTATGAAGAAGTAGGCTGAATATCCATGAGCAGGAAGCCAGTGAGCAGCATTCCCCCATTGCTCTGCTTCAGTTCCTGCCTCCAGGCTTGTACTCCCTGTACAATGGACCTGAGAATTGTAAGATGGAGTAAACCCTTTCCTTCCCAATTTGTTTTTGGTTACGTTGTTTTGTTTAATCACAGCAATAGAAACCCTAACTGAGACACCATCCTTCTTATTGCATCTGTAAACCCCGGAAACATGCATAGAAAACTCACTTTGAGGACTGCTGAGATGATTCAGTAGGTGACAGCACTCTCAGTGTCCCCTGATGACCTAACGTCAATCTCTGGAGCCCACGTAAAGGCAGAAAGAGAGTTGTAAAGGCAGAAAGAGAGTTGATTCACAAAATTTGTCCTCTGACACCTTGTAGGCTCCGTCATATGCCTGTGTCTTACTCCCTCTCCCATATATTCACACAAGGATAAATAAAAATTACATTTTGAGAAGTTTTTAACTTAGAATTGATTTTTTAAAAATCAATTCTAGAACTCTGAAAAGTAAACAAAAGCAAGTGGGTTAGAAAAAAGATAAAAATTCAAAGCTTATCAACCCCCCCCCCTTTCTGTATCTAGTGATCTAGACTGTGAGTTGTTCCAAGTCTTTTAAGTGGGTATTAGGTCCAACCAAAGAGCTGTAGGTGAAGCTTGAAGACTGAGAAAGGATTTCCTAGCCTCCTTTCCTCTTAGATTTTCTCATCCTTTCCCTGGGCCACTGCCCACCCAGTGTCTGAAGCAGTGACCTCAACAAAAGTGTGTCACTAGAGATACTTAGGTGCCTGTTTCTCCAAGGACTGAGAAGTTTCCCTGTGGGTATAAGGAGCTGGGGTTCCAACAGAGGGTAGTGAACTCCTATTAATATTTCTCTCTCTCTTTTTACAACATGAGATGTGCATAGGAGAATGAGGTTAATAAACCCCAATCCTGGCTAGAAAACTGCCAAGAGGAGGAGAGGGAACCCATGAAATCCCAAAGTTGTACAGATATTACAGATAGAAGCATAGGAAAGTAAAGCTACAAGATTGTTTATAACTCCAGGATTCATCAGCAAGTTGACTAAACGTGGTACCATATTCACTGAGAACTGAGCCACAAGATTGCTACACTTCCAGACAGGCCACTGGGGCTGCATGTGGTACATGTCATTGATCTTAGCACTCAGGAAGCAGAGACAGGAGGATCTGTGTGAGTTCAAGACCAGCCTGGCTTATATAGTGTGTTCTGGGAGCTCGAGGGCTACAGAGTGTGATCCTGTCTCAAAAAAGGGGATGACACTGGAAGATAAGTTTGGAAGGAGCGATCCCAAAGAGAACTACACTACAGCCAAGGATTAGCTGAAGTTTGTGGCCTTATTCCAAATTTCCTTCCAAAACAACAGCAAAAGACTTGAAGCTGCAAAGCACAATATAGTAAGGCCAGTGAACAGAAAGTCCAGATAATCATTAGGGCATGGGGATATCTCCCCAGACAGTGTTTGTTACATATGGGAGAAGACCAGTGTGCTACACAGTTTTAATTCAACTTGGCACAAGCTGGAGTTATCTGAAGGGAAGGAACCTCAGTTGGGAAAATGCCTCCATATGATACAGCTGTAGGGTATTTTCTTGATTACCAATTGATGGGGGAGGGAACAGCCCATTGTGGGTGGTGCCATCTGTGGCTGGTAGTCCTGGGTGCTATAAGAAAAGCAGACAGCCAGGATGCTGAATGGGAGGACCCAGGGTCCAGAGTCAACCTAGGCTGCATGGAACGTTCTGGGCTATCCTGGACTATGTTGCAATACTACACCTCAAAATAACCAAATCTCCCATCCCCAAAGTTGTTCCCTAAGTTCAGTAAGTGAAATCTTACATGAAAATCACTTCAAACACAATGATTAATACAACAAGCGAGTATAAGGGGTTAGAAATGTTTAATTGACTAATATGCACCAAGGATGTGACAGATCGGATTCCAGAGAACTTGTCATAAGAACTTGCTTCAGGTCTTACCCTCTCACTATAGTCAACAAGGTCTCTTTTTGCTATGGTGTCTGTCTGTCTGTCTATTTGAAGTAAGGTCTTGCTATATGGATCCCAGACTGGCCTCAAAATTGAAATCCTCCTACCTCAGCTTTCCAAATGCTGGAACAATAGGTATTTATCATTGCCACTTGCTGTGGTATGTTTGGAATGGGTACTTAAAACATATCCATTGCCATATAGCCTAGGACTGCCTTCAGGTAGGACTTCTTTCTCATTTATCACACATGAACCAATCTATGGTGGTGTTAATTGCAAAACAAAGTGTGTGTCAGTTGTAAAAAAATGTGGGGAAAAATGTGTATTTTATAATTAATGCAATACATATTTGTATTTCAATCACTGCCTAGAAGCCAGAAAAGAACATGCTGCCTAGACTGTGTATGTGTGTATATGGATGTGTCTATGTGATTGATGTATATGTATATATGTATATGCACATGCATATGTGTATAGATCTATTTGTATATGCATATGTATGCATACATGTAAAAAAAAGTGGACAGCACCCCTCTACAGCCTATGCACCAGCTCCTGCCTCCAAGTTCCTGTTCTGTTTGAGTTCTTGTCCTGCCTTCCTTCAGGATGGACTCTAATGTGGAAATGTAACCCCAATAAACCCTTTCCTCCCAACCTGCTTTTTGGTCACGGTATTTTGTCATAGCAATAGCAACCCTAACAAAGGCAACCATCATTCAAATACCCAGCACCCATGTGAAGGCTGGGGCATGTATGGCAGCACCTGTGGTCTTAGCATTCTGGAGACAGAGGATCCCAAACAAGCTGGTAGCCGGGCTACCTGGGGTCAGCAGGCTGTAGGTTCAGAGAGATAGAGACTGACCCAGAAAATTGAAAAAAAAAAACCCAGAGATTATCAAGGAAGACTCCCAACAAGAACTCTGAGCCTTCACACCACATATATACACATATACACAAACATATACACATAGGATCATGCAAGCACATTTATGTGCACACAGGTGTATACTATATAAATTTGAACATTTAAATATGCATGGGAAAACAATTATGATATTTCTGAGAAGGTTTTTCAATGTGGGTACAGATATTTAATTGCAATGCAGAGGAGCCATGTCA